CCCTCCTCTCTCCGGCTGTTTCTGTTTGTGTCTGGGCTGCCTGGGTCCAGTTTTTTTTTTCCCCCAAGGTGTAAACTACGCGAGGCTTCTCGTCACATCATCCATCCAGTTCCAGTCGACGTGTTCACGGCCCAGTACACATTTCCCCCAGGCGCCCATTCGGCTCATTTGCCCGTACGCACTCCTCCGCCGCGGCCTCCTCACTCCTCAGAGGCGCAGCCGCGCAACGCTGCCGGCGTCAAGCCGGAGCCCGGCTCTCCCCGCTGGTAACAGCTGCTGCACTCGCTTCTCCGTATCGTCTGCCGCACTGCGACAGCGGCTCCCGGTAATTTCTGCGACTGTTTTCGAGGTCGCGATGCTGGTTACTTTGGCCCCGCTGATTTGTGCTGATTCGAGCAGGGGTCGGCACAGTCGCGCGGAGGATTGGGGCCGCTGCTGTACTGGTCGCCGGGGCTCCTGTCGACGAATCGCCCGCCCGCCAATCCCTCGCCCGGGCGTAGGCATCACCGGGGCTTTGCCTTTGCCCAGCCCCAATCCGGGCGTCACTTGGGGGGGAAAGTGGGTCTCCATGCGCCATCACATCTGCCGCGGAATCGACGTATCTAAAAAGAGGTAGTGTATCCACGCGACATGCCTTACCCGTTGCTACCCTTGACAGAGATTGCCAACTTGTTATTCAAGCATAATAGATTTTGGCATTTTTGCCGAGCTAGGTTCGTGATGCCACTAGAAGCATGCTGTAGCGTTCCTACCATCTTGATGTTTGGTCTTCAGAGTCTGGTAAATCCAACTAGGGAGCTCACCGGAGCTTTCCAGAGTGTGCTTATTTGATATGCATAATCGGTGGTGCCGTTTTAGATCTCGGCAGTATTGTTTGGCTAGAGGTTGCTAATAAATGGGTCGCCAATCTCATCGTTATAATTGAAATTATGAGGACAAATGCAAGGTCTCACTACACGCGAAAACAAAACAAGAATCATCTGAACACCGAGCAACTAAGAACATCGTGAGCATGCGCACAAAAGATTAATAAAAGGTATCTTTTGAAGATGAAGCTTGAGCCCATGGCGTGTACTATGAAGAGCGTGCTGATACCTAGTTTCCTCAGCCGACACAAGCCACTGGTAACAGAAAGCCACGCAAGAGGATATGTATGCTATGTATATGGTAAGTCTTGCAGCCACGATTGAAGAATCTCATCATAGTACTATCTCCGCTATGTTGTTCGTTGTCTTTTAGAGGACGTGTGTAAAACTTCACGAGACGCTCTGTCTTCCCCGAGAACTGTTCATTTAATATTCCTAAAAAGCTAAAAAAACTGGAGAGCTGGGCAACTATTATCCAATTATTGTTTCTATCAGCGGTAAGTAGTGAGCAATAACCACTTGATGTGCACCCTCTCATACACAATACAAATATCAGCAGACATTATCATGACATTATGATGAATCATATGGGAGGGAGTGCTATGTTAATTACTTAAAACCTCATGCTTTAATCATGCATGAAGTGCTAGCATGGCATTATGTGTCATAGATTACTGGGCACAACAGACTTCCTTTGTTGCAGATTTACAGGTAAATATATAACGAATTGAGTGATGTGCTGTCTTGTTTCGAAATGCAACAAATGGATTATGTACTTCTACACTATCTTGAATGTGGTTTATAGAGAAAATTTTCTTGTCGTATGCCCATGCAATTTCTCAGAAGAGATATTCCATCTTCTATTGCATGTAGAGGCCTGGCATGCTTTCCGAAGGGTGTTGTCATGTGAATGTTCTGTATGTAAAGGGAAAGCGATGCAGCTGCAAGGATGAAGAGTGAAAACCATGCTATAGGATCTTTATATAAATGCATGCAACATTCAGGGAAGGTAGTAACTGTTATATGTTAATTCATCTTCTGCACTCGTTTTATCACTCAGTGCTATAGCAATTTTGTCTGCCTAGAACTTTCTCTTCTTTTCCAATCCTCCAATCAAATGGGCCTTTGGGCTATTTCATTCCACATCAGATTCTCTTATCAAGATGTGATGTTGATTGAAGGACGGTGAAGACCAATCCTTGGACCAATCACTGGATGGATCTATTTCGCTTCTTTTTGCAAAGCTTGATAACGTGCCACGTGGTCCAGTGATTTGAGAGAGTCTTGGTTTGTAACTGTTTGAAGGAGATTGAAATCGTTTTCTTTCTCTAGCTTTCTTTGGGCTGTGCACAAAGTAGGCATATCTTAGACCTATTCGAATTCTCTATCGTTCTCGATGATTTTATCACCACATTATGCTTGAACTTTGAGATACACAAACACTAGTTTTGTTATACCATTCCCCTTATGTCCGTGTATTAGTTCCTGCAACGTGTCGCTCTAGAAAATTTCCTCTATCAGGACAGTTCATATATCCAGACTTGACACATGTTCATTTCCTGTAAGAATGAGCCACCACATGAAACATCTTATGTGATCAAGTAATACTCTTTATGTTCATTGTCTTGATTCTTGGACTCCAGTATTCTCAGACCGAGGCATGTATAGATGAACCCATGTAAATGTTCCTCACCGGGAAAAGAGAATGCTGTTTTGTTTCGCCCTCGATGAATGACCATTGAATTCCTTCTTTCCAATTTAGTCTGATAATGTCAAGCCTTGAGAAAGTTGTTAGAATTTAGAACTTGTCAGAAGCTATCACATGCAGATGCTGACCTGTATCTGATTATGTTATAAGTATTGTTTTTTTAACCTTTTTACCTTCTTCTGGAGTTTGTTCTTCAGGTTTGCAGATGTCAAATTTGTATGCTCGATGATGTGCGATGTAGAAAAAATGGACTGAGGGTAGTAACCCATCTGCATAGACCAAAGAAGAAAGGCTTGGGTTTCTACACGCCAATATAAAGGAGGAGCATCACAGTCTGTTGATGTTCAAGTCATTCTCCAAAATGTGAATAGATGCTGCACACGCTGCAACAAAACCATTTGCATATGTAAGATGATAAGGCTTTGCCATCAGAACTTCAAAATATCTTCACTTCCACTTATGTTGGTGGAGGAACAGTGAAGCCTCCAGAGCTATATAAACAACCTGATGTTCAACTTTCTACAACCAGAGAGATCGACCAGTTGGATATGCATTTTGTGCTTGCCTCCCACAGCCCCTGCTTAGCCTCTTTTCCCATCGTTCAACACTTATAAATGGAGTATGCTAATTTACGACGCCAAGCAGCATCCTTGAAAAGGAGCCTCTTTGATCAGGCTTGTGCTCTGTTCATCTCATGCATTAAGCATCAAAGTTCATGCAGTAAACACTTGTCATGTTTTCTTTACAGAGCCAAGACAAGAATTGTCACTTTGCACCTCTGTTTCAAACTTTGACACACCTTAGAAAAATCTGAATGAAGCACAAATATTGAATAAGTTTGCTACCATTTAGTGCTTAAATTCCGCTTTTTCTTTATGTGCGGCAACACTTTAAGAATTAAGATTTTTTTAGCCATTTTGGAACTCTCCTTTTCTGCTACTTATCTTATTTTAATGTGCGTTGATATGGATATGTGCTGATTTAGCTAATCATATTTGGTAACAGGGGTATTTGGATGAGCAATTTTGCCAGGTTGAGGACTTGCAGGATGAAGCAAGCCCCAATTTTGCAGAAGAAGTGGTCTCCTTGTTCTTCAAGGACTCAGCGAGGCTAGTGACAAACATTGAGCAAGCTATGTAAGCAATGGCACTTCCATAAACTTAGTCAATTGTTGTTAAGCAGTATCTAACAACAACACTGCAGGGAGAAGTATCCAAAAGATTTCAATAGATGGGATGCACACATGCAGCAGCTTAGAGGCAGCTGTTTTAGGTATGTCAAGACAGTCAAGTTTGAATATCTTTAGGCGATAGATGATTAGATGTTGCATGCCTATGTGAAAGAAATTGGTGGTGGACTCTTAGAGGCTGTTGAATTTGTTGCCCTTTTAGGCAAATTCTTGACTAGTCTTGATTACCTATTGGGCAGGACCCCTGCTTTTGCCAACAAACTGGTCAGCTTGGATTAGAAAGCCATCACCTGTTGAAGGAGAGACGCACATGGCTAAACTCAGTTTCGTGGGTGAAAAGCGGTAATTGTTTGGTTTTGTAAAAAAAAAGTCACAAGTTTGCAGAACTTAATCTGAACCTTTGACTACTACCAGAAAATAATGGATAGGAAAATTACCAAACAAGCTGTTGACTATTTGTTCCATGAGCCACCAGAAAGCTCCTGCAGCACACTGCTTCTAGATATCGGATGTGTCTCAACACTGCATGTTTGTGTCCTCAATTCTCGAAACCTTTTTTTTTGTCGTCCTCAATTCTTGAAACAGTGCCTTGTTTACTTCTTTTTTTTGCTTGGTGGTGCTTCTACGTTTTTGTTTTACTTTAAGTGCCTCAGTGAATGTGTGCACCAAAGTTTTTCTTTTTCTTGACAGAGATCCCCTAACACAGAGATTTATATTGCTTTCATCACGCAGTACTAATCATGTGCGTCCATTTTACAACTAAATGTTGGATGCATGTGGGGTAGCGAACATTGGCCTTTTACAGATGATATGTATCATGAGATAACATGCTTGCAGCTCCTTTGCCATGACATAAAGAGCTGACAATTTGCATTTGTTATATACTACTCTGCTGTAAAGTTTTGGGCTTAAGCTTAACATATACAACTTGCCACAGCATCGGCGCTTCTAAGATGAACAATGAGTGCACATCTTTCAGGAACAGCTGTGGAGAAGAAAATGCTGAAGGGTCTCTCTCTCTCTCTCTCTCCTGCTTAATTAGTTGGTTAGCATGTCGACATGTGGTTTTCTATCCAAAGCATACAGGTTAATCACTACCGACACGATCTTCTTTCATCCATATTAAGATATTATTATGCAGCTGCAGGAGAACTTTCCAGAAAGTGAAGAGGGAGCATGCTATTCTGAGGCAGAAGCTGGAGTCCTACTTCCAGGTAATCTTCATGAATCAGTCATCACCATGTGTATCCGATCTCGCCATGTGCTCTAATAACATGACATGGCCACACGCAGCTGCTGCGACAAGCTGGTCCTGCCAGGGCCGCGACCAGGCCTGGAAGCATGTAAGGCGCTGGCGCTTTACAGGGAGGTGAACCAGTATATCTCTATACGGGATTGTTGCAGAGGAAGAAGACCCAGGAACAGGAGACATGCCTGGCGTTAGTTCATTAATGCCTGAAAGATACCGTATAATGATCATAAAAAAAGTATCATAGTAATATAATCATAAGGGCACCATGTTGGTGTCCTGTTGGATAATAGTCTGATATAGTCGTATCATGTCATGTCCGCGCTTATGTACGGTAAATAAAACCAACCGAGCTTGCAAGTGTCTGTTACGGAGTATTAATTAATTAATTTATTGACAAGGAGCCTGTGAATGAATGTTTGCACAACAGCCAACTGGAAAGCAATAGTCATATTTCTTATCCATTGATTCTTCTGTTAATTGAAATCTATTACTGGCCGTTCTTTTTATTCGATTTAGTCTTCATTTTTTATGTGAGATGTTTGTAGAGGTTAGTAAATCTTTGTCGCTTCGCCTTTATCTGCCCCTATTTGTCCAGACAGCGAGGGGTCATTCCGTTGTTGTGCGGAGTTGAAATTTTTAATCTCATGTGCGTCGGTGACCACTGATGTGGATTGTGGTAGGGCAGGTAGGCTGAAGCTGGAGTGTTAGGACCGCCTGAGAGGTTGCGATGGCTCTAATCAACGTCTGATGGACAGTACTGAGCTAACGGGGGAATAGTTGAGAAATCTCTGTGATGGGCATGACTGAGCTGCCAAGGATATCTCTCTCACTATGCCAAACTTGTTGCAGGGTGTACTGATTGGTTTGTTTACATGCGCCCTCACGCTTTGTGGCCTGACCGTGAAGTCGCAACCACTCTGGGGACGACGCAGGCAGAGATGATAAAAGGGAAACCAAGATGAACTCCCGCCTCCCGGTGCCGAAGAAGGGAAGTGGAAGAAACTTCGCACCGGAGCAAACTTTTGCCTCTGCACGCAGGAAATCCAATTGACCAAAAATACACGTTTGACCAAGAATATTGAAAAAAAATTATACCAACATCACATAACTATTTCTTAAAAATACTCCTCCATTCACTATTAGAATGTGTTTAACATATTTTAATATGGACTACATACGGACTAAAATGAATGAACAAACACACAAAGATGTGTCCATGTAGATCTGATTCAGTAAAAAGTTAGTACACCTTATAATAGTGAACAAAAGAAGTACATCATAACACATATTTTTCTGATGTTGTGGATATTAGTAAATTTTATTATAAACTTGGTCAAACTCTAAAAAGTTTGACTTTGGACAAAGTTAGTACTTTCTTCTTCCTAAAATATAAGGCGCGCATTGATTTTTTAGGTCTTTATCGCACAACTTTGACTATGATTTTCACATAATGTATGCCTACAAAATTATTATGAAGACATGTGAAATAAAATTGTTTTGCAAGACAAATACGATGATATTATTTATACATGTCCAATCCATGTATTTTGGTATATATTAATAGTCAAAATTGTGCATCAAAGACCGTGCAAAGTAAACCACACCTTATATTTTGGGAAGGAGGGAGTACCTCAAATATGGTGTGGCGGCTTCCCCGCGTGATTATATATTAAGATAACGCCGACTATGGTTTTGTGGAGAGCATTAGCGCCGTGAGCATGAGGGTTGGTTGCTAGAACTCTTCTGGCGATCTATCATATCTTTGTGGGACTTTATTGAGCGAAGCACCAGTGTGGATGAAGCGGAGCTTCGGACGTGCGTGTGACCTTAGGAACAGAAACTCGGTGTCCAGCTTTAAGTTATATAAAATCAATCATCGGGCCAATGGGATGGCATGTGAGATTGCGAAGTTGAATTTTGATAATAGGTCAGGTGGTGTTCTTCTTAATAGTTTTCCGTCCTCCGTGACGTGCTGTAAGGATGGATTGTAATGACAACCTTATAATAAACTAATATATGAGGGTGTTTTTTAAAATAAGAAACTTCAGATATTAGGAATCGTGCGATATGGTGCCGGTACCTGTCTGAAGTGCCTCTCGCGAACCAACCTATGGTCGGATGGTTAGGATGACAGTGGTATCCCCAGCCCATCATGGTTCAAGTCCTGGTGCTCACATTTATTCTGAAATTATTTCAGGATTTTCGGCGATGTGCGTTCAGTAAAAGGAGACATCTTCGTCAACTAGATACACATACGGTGACTTCGTAAAATCTCAAGAATATATGCCGGATCAATCTCTCGCAGATGCTCATAAAGGTAGGTTATGCGTGTGTGTGCTCACATTTATTCTGAAATTATTTCAGGATTTTCGGCGATGTGCGTTCAGTAAAAGGAGACATCTTCGTCAACTAGATACACATACGGTGACTTCGTAAAATCTCAAGAATATATGCCGGATCAATCTCTCGCAGATGCTCATAAAGGTAGGTTATGCGTGTGTGCATTCGCAGGGGCGAGTGTATGTGTATATATGGGCACTTGTGTGTACTGTGTTCAGAGAAAAAGATGCGCCTCTCAAGAAAGAACAAGGAAATTGTCAAAAAAGAAGGAAAACTGCTTGAAGAGATGAAACAGTTTTTTTTTAGGCAAGAGATGAAGCAGCTGGCATTCAGTTTAAAGGAAAAAAAAACAGTTGGTTTTTTTTTTGTAATTTGTTGGGTTCGTATTCAGCTCAATGGCCGGCCCGGCGGGAACACGATTCAACTGCTTGAACGTGTCAGCGCTGCCAAACGTGCCGGCCATCAAGTGGGCCCCTCGACCGCCCGCCACCCCCCTTCTCGCCAGCGCTTCCAAACTTCGAAAAGCGTGTGCCGCCCACGCCGTCAGGTCGCTTCACTTGACGCCGTCAGTGCATCCATCAGCCCTTCGTGCCAAAGCGTATCGATCAAAGCTGCTGCTCGTTGCTGGAGTATTGTTTTTTGTTTTCTAGATAGAAAATGGAAGGGCACCTCCAAAACTATGTATCATGAACCCACGTGGCTGAAATTGTGGGTATCAACCATGCACTCCGGTACATTGAAACATTCCATGGAACCCTCTTCCTTTCAAGTTAAAGTACACTCATATTTTTTTTTTCCGGCGTTCCAATTTATTAATGTTTTGCTCTGCGATGATGTAGTTGTGCAGAGTGTAAGGCCTTTTTTTTAAAACATTGACTTGAGTTTTCTGATGATCTTAGTTACTCCTTTCATTTATTTATACAAGGCCATTATAAAAAATACCTTTTGCATTTATACAAGGCTACCAACAATAATCAAAACAAAAGTTAAAAAAGGCTATTATAGAAAATACACTTTGAGTAATAGTTTTATTGTTTCGTGGTTTCGTTTTCAGCAATGGAAATGGGGCTGGGCCAGGTGTCTGGAAAAACGTAGTCTTGCTGTTTTGACTAAACTTGAAATTTGATATAAAATCACTTTTTATGTCTTCTTTATCGAGTTATTCGGTGCATCCATTAGCGAACCAAACAAAACAGAAGCATGTGTTTATAATGCTTAAGAAAACTATTATGTGATGTTATTGGAGTATTCATATGACGAGGGTAGTTGAACTGCTTTATTTTTAATTATTAATAATGGGGCCTAGAAAATGGATTTGACTGACCTATGAAGTTATATTGCATGTTCTAGGTTTGAAGTTCTTTTGTGTTTCCCCTAAGATCGGATTTGTTACTTTCAAGTTGATGTTGAGTGAATACTTGTTGAAGCGGCAGTCCAACATAAGCAAGTAGAGTACTCAATACGCGTCTCCATTCCCTACGCACCCGCCACCTCCTCCATACGTACCCGCCACCTCCTCTCAAAAAACTTAGGGTTCTTGCCTTTTGTCGGCGCCGCCGTCGGTCCGCCTCGTCTCCAGTGGCCTGGGAGCCATGGGAGCGCGGTGGATCTCGGCCCTTGTCGGCGGGAGAGCTCCGCTTTTAGATGTTTCTTTCAGTTTTGTTATGGTTTGTGTCTTGCTCAAGAAGGTGAGAGGGCGGCGGCTTCTTGAAGATGAAATAATGTTCTCTCCGTCTAGCCCCCATTCCGATGGTGTGTCTAGCATCATCGGAGGGTGTGTAGAAGTGTGCCTCCGGCGGATCTCGAAGGATTCGGTTGGTGCTTGTCTTTGGTGGATCTACTAAGATCCGGTCTTCTTTCGTCTACGTTCATGTGTCTTTCCGACTTTCCGACTGTCTACTACAATAAGTTTTGCCTGGCTCCAGCGAGGGAGGGGCGATGACGACGGCGCGCCTTCGGCTCCCTTCGGCGCTTGTAGTCATCGATAGGTGGTCTATAGATCTGGATGTATTTTTTTTATTTCTAGTGTTTGTTGTACTGACATGATTAAATATGTATAAATTAGAAGTTTTCGCGCAAAAAAACAACCCCCCGTTTCATAATGTAGTGTGTATAAATTTTCTGAAAAGTTAAAATTTTCAAACTTTGACCAAGTATATAAATATAACTACTTATATCTACAATATCAAATATATAAAATATGAAACTATATGATATCGTGAATCTAATGATATATGTTTGACAATCAAGATATGAATGTTTTTCTTCACAAACTTGGTTAAAGTTTGTGCAATTTGACTTTAAAAAAAGTATATGCACTACATTATGAAACGGAAGGAGTACTTGCTAACCCATAGGACAAAAATAATCTACTCAAACATATAGAAGATGCAAAAAAAAATCATCATATAATAATTAATATCATCCAACACTATGTTCAAGTAAGGGATTATAACGAGTTGCGGGAGAGTGGACCGCTGAATAGAGGAGGAGGAATGTGATGGAGATGCATGTGGGTGAAGACAACGAAGTTGTTGGAGACCATCACCGTGATGATGGTTACTCGAGCGGCACTTCAGCACCAAATGGGAGAGAGGGGGAGAGAGCCCCCTCTTCCTTCTTCCATGGCCTCTCCCAAGATGGGAAGAGGTTTCCCCCCTATGGTCCTGGGCCTCCATGGCTCCCAGAGGGGTGAGAAACCCTTCGAGATTGGATCTCTTTCTCTCTCTGTTTCTCTCTATTTTTGGTACTGTTT